GTAAGCTTGCCCTGCTTCTCTGGCGCGCGGGCGCGGCCAAACCCGGCCGGTGGCCAGCATACCTGAAAGCAAGGGCTGCCAAAGCTTCATCCTCATCGCCCATCGCTAAGCCGCAGCCTTCTCCTGCGGTATGGGGGCTCCAACTGTGGCGGGGTGCCCTCCTGGTATCGGACCCGCGGAGCCCCCTCAGGCGAAGGCGTGCCCAGCCAGTCGCACTCGCAGTCCTTGGCAGCCCTCCTCGCCACTGCGGCTTCCTCCTCTGTCAAAAACTCAGCGAACAGCTCCAGCAAACAATACCAGCAGTACATGTACGTCATGGCGCGTCTGCTTAAGTTCGGGGTTTCTAGCTTGGGCCCAGAAAGAATCGGGCGGGCGGAACTTCTTCTTTGCCCAGAATGCAGCTGCGACCTCCCAGCAAGTCTGACCATCTCGAGCTAAATATCACACACAACCATGACGAAACGCTGCTTTAAAAAGCCTTCGTAGAGGCACACAAGAAGGCTCCAACGCTCTTTCCCTGAAGCAACTAGGCAACTAGGCCAAATGCATAATAAGTGTCAAACGTGTTTGCAAAACAACAGAAAAACAGCCAAACAATTTTGCAAAAAAAAGTTTAAACAAGCCAAGGTTGTTTCAAACAATTTCGCAAACATTGTTTGCAACAATATTCTTTTTTTAAACAATTTAAGAATGTTTTGTCGGGTTTTCAAAGTGTTCCTGCCTCAGTGGGTCTTAAATCCATCTAAGCAAAAGCAATCTGACTGAGGGCGAACGAAGCCAATGCAGAGCAGTTTTGGGTGCAATTCACTGGAGACTGCAGCAAACACCTCCTCATGCAGCCAAGCTTTCAATTCTGCAAAACACCTTACCTTGAGGTAATAAAGATACTGCAAGAGAGATTCGCAAGCTTTGCCGTGAAGTGTATCAGGCCTAAGTATGCGATGAAGAGCTGAGTCTGGTTGCATAGACGGACGCCGCTGTGGAAAAGAGGCCAGATCTTACATCCACCGGAGGTCACTTGATTGGTTTGGCGCGCCATCTTGGAGAGCAAGCGGGTGCCAGTCAACCCAGTGGCGTGGAGAAGTGGAAAGTTGCATCGTGTGGCAAAGAGCAGCCTTTCGGCAGAAGTGCAATCTTTGTCAGGAGGTGAGCAAGAGTTGATGTTTTGCAGAGCTTTGTGGGCCGAGCTGCAAAGACCTGAGACCACCACCGTGAAGGTTGATGGTGCGCTGGTGATCGATGCCAAGTCGGTGTATGATGCGTTCTGGAAGGAGCACACAGCGTCCTTTGCTGTGGGCTTCAGCTTGCAGATGGCCTGGTGGCAGCGAAGAAGAAGAAGAAGAAGGTCATCCCGAGAGCCACGCACACAACACCACACAAACAAGACAGAAAGCACAGTCAACACCACTGACTTTGAAAAACCACGAAGTTCCGCTCTCATTGCTTCCACCCATCTCGGATTGGACTCATCACCAAACATCAAGAAGTCATCCACGTGTGCTCCAATCCTGCCAATGGCGTTGCCGCCTTCGACCATCACCCAAATGCAGGGTTCACACTTCAAGCGTTGCAGCCCACCTCAAGAAACCACTCCCGCGGTGCTGATGCCATGCCATACCCTGCTTTCAGAAGACGCACTGCTTGTTCTACAGGCAGGCCTAGCCCTTCTGTTCAGGAACTGGAACAGCAAAAACATCTCTCTTTGTCTGGCTCTCAGTCGCTTGAAGAAGCGCTGACTTGGTATCTGCTTTCAGCACCTTCCATGTTCTGTGAGTGGCGAGGTTCAGCAGAAGCATCTTCCCTCTCCGAAACAGAGTTGGAGCTGATGTCTGCAACTTGACCAGATCTGGGTCCAGCATGCCAAGTAATACTATGCGAGCTTTTGTTTTGACAGTGTTGGGCTCGTCTGTGGCTTTGAAAACCAAAACCTATGGCTTTTGCGCACACTTTCTGGCCTAGCCACTGGTCAACTTCCAGCTGCTTTGCTTCAGCCATTTGCACCCTTCTGAACATTCTTGGCTGCATAAACCTTGGGATCTTTCATGATTCTCTTCCACTCTGCTTCACTTTCTGGCGCAGGTATGGTCACAGCAAAAATACCTGAACCATATGCCACAACGCCTCCGCTTTCTCAAGGCAACTGTGGTCATAGGTGAAGCCATCTGACTTCCCTTCTTGACATTCAGCACAGTTTCGCCGCAGCGCGATTGCCCGCGTCTGTTCGTTGGCCCCGCGTGCGCGTGGCGCGCGGGCAAGTGCTCGAATACTGAAATGTCCACATTGACGATGTAGTTTGAGCACGGTGCTGTCGATCTTGCCGATATCGTGATCTGTCCAGTTTACAGGGCCTCCTTCTTCACCTCTTCAGCGCCGAAGGCCATCTCGGTTGGCTCTAGGATTGACTTTGCCACCATGCCGCAATACATCGTCCCGTCTGCTCTGGTCCTCCTCCAAGGCAAGGAGCATGTGCGTGTTTTGCAGGACATTGTATTGCGAGCGTCAGTCACTCTGATCCTCCATGGCTTCTGGATTCGCTGTCCCTTGTGCTCGACTCCAAACTGACAGCCATCCGCCAAGATGTTGCGCAGCTTGTCCATCTCCCCCAAGACCGACCAAAACTCAATCACCGCTGGCCGTTTCCATGCAAACATCGCCCTTCTCGTAGCCTTCCTTCGTGACCTTGCTCAGGTGCTGGCATGGCATAGATATCCAGATTCATTGCGGTCTCTGATCCAATGTGCAATGAGGTCCCTGACCTCGAAGCTCTCTGCTTTCCTGGTATCGCAGCCATTGACCAGCTCGTTCGGCTCGTCCACCTCCGCTACGAACTTCATCAGTCAGCATACTGTTTTCTCCACAGCACAGCTCTAAGAGGTTTGACGCCGCAAGCCACGAAGCTCTCTGCAACCTTGTCCTCAAAGTCCAGGATGTGCTCCTTGAGGTAGGTCCTCTGCGTTGACCTTCGTCTTGATCTTTTGCCTGGTAGATGTCCAGATTGTCATCCATCAAACTGTCGGACTGCACGGTGAGGCTGAAGCTATACTGGTCCATGACGTTTCCGTCCTCTCTCTTGCGCGCTTTCCGATGGAGTCTCTTTCATCTCTTGAGTATCTCAGCCGCAGCTCGCACTGGGAGCACCGTCTTCAGCTGCCTGGATCTTGAAGAGGTAGGTCACGAGGATGATGATCTCCTTTCTCCAGCCATTGGGGACGCTTCCAAGCAAGCTCGGGCTGATGCAAGACAGCTTCTCCGTGCGGGCCAGGCTCCCAAAGCCACGACTTTGCCGCACCTTTTTGCGAGGTCCTGACTGTAGGTGATTGTGCCCTTATGCATCTGTTGCAGATATGCGTTCTTGGGCTGCAGACCGGACCCTGCCGTCGAAGGTTACAAATGCCTGGGCGTGCGCAGTACCACAAGGGCGCCACACCCTTGCAATGCCCAATGTCCTTCTCGTGACAAAACGGCAGCTGCATCACGGCCTTTGCGGCAACCAAAAAACCGTATGGTTGAGGCCAGCCCGGACCCTCCAAAACAGATCCCGGGCCTTGCCAAGAGCTGCTCAAGCTGCCGGAGCCCAAGCGTGCCAGGCTCCGTAGCTGCGACCGCGGCGCGGAGGACCGTCCAAGGACACAAGGCAAGATTTGGGGAGAGAGGTTTGGGCTGCAAATGTGGTTCTTCTGCTTTTTATTTTGCCAATTCGCAAACATACCGAAAAACCGGGGCTCTGTCTTGGATCCTCTCCAGGGTTGGTCGGCCCTGCTGGCCCGGGAGCTGACGCGAGCGAGGATGCGGTTGAGCAACAAGTTGGGCTTGTCTCATCAAAAGAGGGTATACTTGTTGGCATCTGAAGGGGGGCCCCAAAAATGGCTTCGGTTTCAGATGTTTTGTGTTTTTTAATGATTGTGAAACAAACGGAAAAGAGCCTTTCATCTGTTCAACACAAGGAAGAGTAGTGTGGCCCATCTTGGCTTTTAGTCATTCTTCTTGGTCGGGGGTCGGTCACCTCGAATTTGCGCACCTTCACCCCTAAAATCTAGCCTAGCGCAGCGATTGCACAAGAGCCTTGGGCATCCAAGCCCTGATGTGCTGCGCAGTACGCTGGCGGAGGTTCAAGCCACAGACCTCGTGATGGCGGCAGCGAAGATCTACGCCTGCCCGATGCGCAATGCGAGGCAGAGCCCAAGCGGGGGTGCCACCAGCTTCAGGCAGGCCCACCACCCGCGAACCAGCGTAAGGGCAAGACAGCGTGACATCCTCAGCCGCGCAGAGGCTAGTGGGCCTCTCACAGGTGGTGTACCTTTTCGCGCTTGATACGTCGCAGTAAGCCTTCCGAACCCACCTTCTGGCGAACTTCTGTTCTCTTTGAGTTTTGTGTCTTCTGAGGATTTGGGCGGCCTCACCGCCACGGAGTTTTGATGATCGACCCAGCCTGGGTCAACAAGTGCATGGATCAAGCCCTATAGCAAGCCGCTATACGTCTGGGTGGATGAGGCCAAAGGCCAAGCATGTGCGAGATGGTGTTCCGATCACGCTGAATCACACAACTGGCTGGGTGCAACTGTGGCGGCACCAAGTGGTAGCGTTGGAGCTCTACATGGACGACCTAGGCATGAGGACGGATAAGACGCTGGTGGACGCGGCGATCTACGCGCTGGGCCAGGGAAATTTAGAAGATTCAGCCCTGCTTAGTGGGTGTGGCAAAGCACATCTTCTCAAAACATGCAGCTACTCCTTGTTTTCACAAAGCTTTTGGTTGGCTAAAGGGTTCTCTCAGCCGAAACGGCATGCCGGTGGCGCATTCACCTCCACATGTGCAAACACTGACAACCACACCACACCACAACACACTACGCCACACCAACCCGAAACCAAAGACTGAGACCACTGGCGACTTATGAAGGTGACCGAAGCCCGGAGCCCACCACACCCCACCCCACCCCAGCCCAGCCAGGAAGGCCAGCAACAAAAACCGTTCACCCAATTGATTGCAGACAAGCCACCGACTGGCAAGGCCTAGCACCTGGGGAGCATGGAATGCCTGGCTCCTCACCCTTCGCCAAATCGGGGAGGTATTTAAAATGCTACACGAAATGCCATTGCAACAGATCTGGCTCTACATGCACCCGTGCTTTTACAAAACAAAGGAAACTTCAGAGTTAAACAAGGCGATTCCGAAGTGTTGATTTTCACCAGCTTGCTTTAAACAAGTCCTATTAGAGAAGGTAGGCCGCTCCCATCGGAATCAAATCCAAGTAAAGCGAAGCATGCGTCCGGGCAACGGCATGTGCATGGTGGCAAACCAGCAACATCGAAATGATGCATCTAAGCAAATGGAAAAGCATGCGTCCGGGGGCAAGATGTAACAACAGATGCGTGGTGGCAGACCAGTCTAACGGGGCAAACAAGCAACATCGAAATGAAACATCTAAGCAAAGGGAAAAGCATGCGTCCGGGAGCAAAATGTAACAACAGGGGCATGGTGGCAAACCAGCCCAGCGGGACAAACAAGCAACACCGCAAGTGTCAAGGCAAGAAACCAAGCCCGGACGGGCGGAAGCCGAACCCCGTGCCGCCCCACAAATGCGCAAAATGCTCTTGGACCCCTACCACCCCATTTTCCAGATTCCGATCACCATCAGGCCTATAAATTTAAGTGGGCAGTGTGTTGTTTAGATATGTGATATGTTGAGAAAAGCAAAACAAGCCTCAGTTCAAGCCACCCCAACTCCCACCAAATCCTCTGGCCACTTACCACACTCCCAGCATTTCTGGCCCGCCTCCTCCAAATGCGCACGCACTGGGGGCCCCAGCGCCTGCCACTCATGTCCGAGCGACAAGCCTGTCCTGAAACCCCGTAACAGTCAAAACACAATGATACAACGCCAGGCAAAGACCAAGAAGAAAAACGCCACTATCGGCGCCTGCTTGTCTTGTGTCAGAAGCCTATGGACCCCATTTGTGTGGCTCATTTGACTCGAACCTCGCAAGCCAAACGCATCACAAGCTACAGCGGCCGAACAATCCACAGATTCTCATTGTCGAAAGGACGATTGGCATTTTGAGGCCTTTGGCAAAGCCGCAAGGATCTCATGTATTTGAAGTGCACGGCACAGCACGCCACAGCACGCGCGTCGCCTCTCACTTCCTGAGTGGATGGCCAAAAATACAACCAAACCGTTTATTTACCAGTGGATGGCCCAAAAATGTAACCCAGCTTTCTATTTACCACTAAAATGGGCCCAACAACTGTAACCCAACTTTCTATTTACCACTAAAATGGGCCCAACAAATGTAACACCCATTTTTCTATTTACCACTAAAATTAGGGTCAAGCAACCCAAAAAGCAACCTAAAAAATTGGGCTTTCTATCTAAAATGGTCCAAGCAACAAGCGTCAAGTCCGAAACGCAACCTGGGGGAGCCAGGCCTTCAGCAAGGGAAACTCCTTGTGCGCTGCGAGGTCGCCGCGGGGCATCGCGGAGCGCAGCCACTTGAGGCGCTCGGGGAAAGTGCCAGGGGCGGAAGCCAAACGCTGCCTGAAAGGAGATGGGCTTGGTTGACGTAAGGGGAGCAAACATTTCAATCAATTTTAGCAGTTAAGTGGTTGGATTTCCCACTCAACCACAATAGGAGATGCCCGGAGGGTCATGACCCCAATGCAGACCCCCGGGCCCTCCAATGGAGAACCTCGACCCCTCAAATCCCCCTTGGAAACAACCAATTTTGAGGGCCCAAAATCAATGGGGACCCTTAGGATGGGTGTGTCTCTTTATTTGTTGAGTACTTTTTGGTTGGTGTCAAAGGGAAACACAAAGGAACACCAAAGCCAATTTTGGGGGTTCCTTTAAAACTTTAAACAATACACACACCCATATATATATATATATATATATATCCAGGGATGGGGAAAACTTGTCAATCACAACTTCGTCGAACCAGGGCAAACGTGCACCAGTTGGATTCACCGACGCCTGATACGTATCATGGTACGAGGTCAGCAACGAACAAAACAGGAAGTGAACCGCCGGTACCGTTGCCAATGCCAGTTGCCAACAATAAGCTCCAGCATGCGCATGCCGGTGGCCGTGTTGCACACTTCCGGCCCCAAAACACAACATGCCACTCCAGAAATCAGCACGCCATGATCATGATGCAGCCATGCTTCTCCAAATGCTGCAGTTGCACCTGCGATGCAGGCTGGGCAGTCTCAATATTGGGCCTTAGGTGCCTTACAGGCCCTTTGACATCGCTGCGTCGCTATAGTGCCCACAAGCACACGTCTTTATTAGGGCATCTCTGGGCCCATGTGTCAAACGAAGCAATTCACAGGCTCAGGGCGAAGCCATACGCCGCATGCTTCTCAGCTGATCTCACCTGCCATCCCTAGGGAACAACATAATATATATGGACCAACTACAGCAGCCATTGCAACAAGCCGCGCCTGAAAGCCGATGTTCGGAAATGCCACCGTCCTCTTCTTCTGGACCTGCCTTGCGCGCCAGGCTCCGTAGCTATGACAGGCATTATGTAATGTTGAGCTTCCGAACCTAGAAGCTCAAAGATCGTTTCAAAGCGGAAAGCAACAAAAGCTGCCCCGGTGCTCAAAGTGCTGCCTCACATCTGCGACACCCGTCTGGGGAACCCATCCTCTCGGTTTGTCCATCGCCTGCCGTTCAGATAACCATAGCCCAAGCCTTGCCCAAAGGACCTGGACTTCAAGGCTGCGTCGGTTATGCCGTGGCGTGTGTGCCAAAACTGGCCCTAGAAACCTCCCCAGGTCTTCCGGTGGCCAGTGCATCCCTGCCAAAAGGCGATGCTAGCCACTTTATTTAGATACCCCTAGTCAAGGCGAGCAAGCCTAAGCTCGCATCATCACGCAGGATGACGCGCTTGCCCCAGACGTGGCAAAGTGAGGAATCACCACGCCACTGCAAACATGACTGATGGTTCCCTCCAGGCTGATTGACGTCTGTGGCCGTCGGAAGCTGAGCCGCCTCTTTGCCTCTTCGTAGCTCTGTCCTCGCAACATGAGGTAGGCAATGACCTCGCCAAAGGCAGCAGGGAAGCATGGGCCGTGTTCCTCAGGCCTTGAAACGGAACCAATGATTTGGCAAGGCTTCAAGTCGGTCCCAAGTAACACCACTCTGGGCTTTAACTGATGCTTTTGCCAACTTCGTCTCACTTCCTGAGTGGATTGGCCTGAAAAAGTCCGAACGGTTCATTTCCCCCCAAAATGGTGTTTAAGCAACCAACAAGTCTCAAGTCAACGGAACGGAGCTGAGCAGTTCACCGCCCCGGCCCACATGCCACGAAGCTCCGAGCGGCGACGCTGCAACTCCGGGAGATGCCGCGGGTGCAGTGAACCAACAGCCGGCCTCCCGGACTCCCGGGACAGCCCCAAGACGAGGCACCGCGAGAAAATCCGGACCAAGGGGGTCCCCCGATTTTCCTTTTTCGGGTCCCCCTTTTTTCCATGTTTCCATGAAGGGAAAGTGGAACCACACCTGGAACCTTCCAGTGGCCACCCCCCTCCCCCGAGTCCGTGTTTTTTTTGGGTGGGGGGGATCCGTGAAAGGCATTGAATCGGATGCAAGGCCGAGGGAGTCCCCTTACTTAATGGGTTTGGGCATAGTTTGTGTAGGGCTCGGTTGCACGACTTACACTCGGCATCGACTTGCATTTGTTCTTGGCAGTCCGCAACGTTTGTTTCCTCCATGGCAACTTCACACATTGTATGGGACCAGGACTGCTTAGAGCAATGGCATGCTCTTAGACTCACTTCCCCCGACAATTACGGGCGGTCAAACGGACCTGACACAAACATAAACACGCAACAAACACGCGCGATCTCCAGTTTAGCAATTGACTTAGAGTTGAGGTGGGATGTTCGATCTTGCAACAGGGCATGCGGTTGAAATGCAAATTTACAACAAAGGCGCGGCTTCCAGCCCTTTCAACTTGGCTGTGGCCGGGTTTTGGGGCCCGGGGAATGACATTAGACAAATTACGGGGGCCTGTTTGCGTTTTGAGGAAAGAAAGTTAGCAAGCAATTGAAACCTAAGCTAAACCAAGCGTCAGATTTTCAAATTTCTGCCACGGTCACCTAGCAAAAGTTGATGATCATCCGATCGACTGCACGTTTGACTTGTTGGCATCATCTGATAATCTGCGGGAATGATTTGTTTAAGCTTTGTCAAAGCCAGTTGCAAGAACAGACTTCCTTGTCCTTTCACCTGCCACCATGGAAAAGCACAGCTTCCAGAATCAACTTGGGAAACATCCGCGATGCCTGCAAAAATAACAACGTTAAGAACACTGCTTTGAAACGGCCTTCAAGCTTGTTCTGGCGCTTGGCGTCTCATGCCACAGTCATCGGATGCATCCGCATTTCCATTTTTTTGCTCGAACAACTTGCTGCTCTCTGGGTAGCATTTCATGCGCGTGAAACCAGGAGGGGTGGGGAGGGGTGGGGAGGGGTGGGGAAGTGGAGGCTCTCAGTTGTGGAGCTTGTCGATCTTCTTTGCGATCGCGCCGGTGAGCTTCCTCAGTTGCTCAGTGACGGAAGAGAAGGGAACCCTTTTTGGGGAAGACAAGTTTTAGTGAGGCAGCCACCGAAAAAAATAAAAATAAATAAATAAATATAAAAAAAACAAAGGAAAAGGGTGCTGACGAAAAAACAAGGGAACCCTTCTTAGGGGAAGACCACTTTTAGTGGGGCAGCCCGGGCAGCCACCGAAAAAAAAAGAAGGAACAGGGTGCTGACGGAAAAAAAGGGAACCCTTCTTAGGGGAAGACCATTTTTAGTAAACAGCCACCTACAAGAAACAAAGGGAAAAGGAATTGGTGCCACTGAACACCTGAGCTTCACAAGTTGCATGTCCGCTTCCACGCCGCCCTCCTCGTCGCTTTCCTCTTCGCTGTCACCGTCCAGGGCGAGCAAGGCCCGCTCCGCCCAGTCAGCCGCCGTCTTCTTCTTCCTCCTGGGCTTCGTTGAGGAGCCAGGCTCCTCAGGGCGAATGCCTTTGTGCTACATGCTTCTTTGATTGCAAATTGAGGAACCTAACACTAACATTTACAAGAGAACAATGGCATCAACGGCATGCAGTACTTCAGCTTATCTGGGGAGGGAACATTTACATTAAGCTGTATGTCCACGCTGCCCAACTCCTCATCTTCATCTTCATCCTCGTCTTCCTCATCCTCGTCTTCATCGCAGGCGTCCTCGAGGTTGTCAAAGGCACTGTCGATCCGCGCTCCCCGGCTTGGCCGGGCCGCTTTCAATCTTTCCTTAAAGAGATCGACATGTTGTCATTGCCGCTTTTTGGTTGGAGGTGCTCAGTAAAACATCCAACTGGTTGTTTCCTTCAGAGGAATCATGTTCATTCAACCACGCTCCCGATTATCGCACCGGCAAGTTGCCAGTATGCAAAAACAAATCTGGACCTTGGCATTCGTTTTGAGGACAGCCCCTGAGACATGCTCCAGTGTCACAACCACTTGCGATAGCCTTGAGACTTGACACGAATCAAAGGGAGCACGAGACGTTGCAACTGGAAGAAACAAATTGAAAATGCCCAAAGGAAGCAATCGTGTCAGCAGAATCCGTGCGATATGTTCAATCTAAGTTCATCCAGCTCCAGCCATGGCATTCACAACGCAAGCTGTGTACTGTATGCGTGTCACACTTGCGCCTAACCGTGGCAACAGCTCATCGAACGGAAGAACGTAGCTGGGCCTTTACGGCGACCAAAGCGATTGTTGCCTTGTCGCACTCCAAGGCGACAAGGCAAAACAGCATACCCTTCCTCCAACTAACACGGCACCTGTGGGGAGGTACCTGGAAGATTCATTTTCTTTTGAAGGGAGCCCCTGTTAGTTGCTATGTTAGTTGGAGGGAGGGTAACCCCCTTTACCACTCCAAGCGTCCGCCTCTTTTCGCTCCTCCTCGAGCCTCTCTCGCTCCCGGCGCTCCTCTTCCAGCCGCTCCCGTTCGGCTTCTCTGCGCCGCTCCTCCCGCAGGCGCTCCTCTTCCCTCCGACGCTCCTCGGCCTCAAGCCTCCTTCTCTCCTGCGGAGTTTGGAAGCCTTGCGGGCTGTCTCTGGCCCCACTAGTTTCCCGAAGTCAAGCCCAAATGGCAAGTTCAGAAGGAACAAACACCAGCTAAACTGTCAAGCTAATGATCCAGCCTTCTACACTGCTGTTCGCTGATCAGCCAAACATGAACCTTGCAATTGTCTTCCCGGTTGTCATCTCAAGGCGCGACACGTGAACAACTTCAAGCACTAGGTGTTGTCAAGACTCTCAAACACCACCAAACAAACATCCAACTTCCATGTTCCTCTCATTGCTCGTCACAAAAAAATGGTTATTGATTGTACAATTGGGTGATCACAACTGCACACAACATGGCTCAAGGCTCAACGTCTCCTCCTCCTGGCGGATGCGTTGCTCTTCACGCCTTCGCTCCCCCTCCAACCTCTGCTCCTCCTTCCGACGCTCCTCCTCCAGTCGTTCCTCCTCTTGCCTTCGCTCCTCCGCAAGCCGCTCCTCTTCTTTCCTGCGCTCTTCTGCCAGTCGCGCCTTAGCAGCATGTGAGTCAACAAGCGTGCCCCCCGACAGACCCAAAGATGGGCAGTCCCCAACAACAAGCTTCTGCATCCTGCATACCACTGGCTTTGGGGAGGAGCTCAGATGCATGTCCTGGCATCTGATTTCTTAGGCAACTCAAGATGGCAGTAGGAACCCCCAACAGCAAAATGGTCCATGCCCATGGCATTTAACCAGGCAAGGATTTAATCTGAGCAATCGTGCCACACCAGCCACCCCAGGTCCCTCACGTCCCGAGACTCGGCCTCCTCTCGCTTTCGCTCTTCTTCAAGCTTTCGCTCCGCTTCCTTCCGGCGCTCCGCCTCCATGCGTTCCGCCGCCTGCCGCCTGGCGAGAAATCCAACTGACAATCGATGGCCAGGACCCCGTCTGCCCCGCCTTTTTTTCCCCCCCCCCCCCCCCCCCCCCCCCGTTTTTTCCGGGGCAAATGGAGATGCAAAGGCAGGGGGCCTACAAGGGAAAACAACGAGAAGCAAAGGGCCCCATTGCAACATGCAAATAGCAGAAGTAACTGCATGGAGCAACGCACTCAGTAGCTAACTGCTTGTGCGAAGCTGGTATCAAAGAAACAAACATACTTCTCGAGGAAACAGTTCTGTGATATTCGGCCTGCTTTGGAAATTGGCTGCTTGAGCTTTGCCTAGGTTTGCCCGCGCTCCATGTTGCGGCCATGTCAGTCACTGGGATTCATGGGAGGGTCAAATCTGAATGAACCTGCACATAAGCTACTCGTATACATGCGCCTGAATGCAATAAAACCTAACTGGGGATGGTTTAAAAGGAATGCCAAAAGGAAGAACACATGTTTGCGGTCCCCCCTAAATTTGCGAACCACCTACACCGAAAAGGAGCCCGCATATATGAAACAAACCCACAAGTTGCCTTTTGGCCGCCATCTCAAGTTTCCCCCAGTGACGACGACATCCCTCACCTCTGCTCTTCCATCTTCTTTCGGGTTTCCTCTGCCTTTCGGAACTTCTCTTCCATCTCTCTGCGTTGCTGCGCCTCTCTCTCCTCAGCCTCGCAGGGTTGACCGCGCGCCTTCACCGGAGCCCAGACCCTTTGGCAGGTTTGGCCAGCCACCCTGATTTGGCCATGGGGAAAAACCATTGGGATACCATTTTGGGATAGGTGAATTCACCACCCATTTTAGTCGGGATTTTAGCGGGGATTGGGATGTTCACTGGGGGTACGGGCTTTTGACGCATGGCCATTTGTCTTGATAGAACTGATGAGCCGAAATCCGCAAAGGGTGACCCTTGCATGCGCCTCACTCTGTCTTTTGGCGAACAAACGCAGAACCTCCTAACGCTCTGCACTTCTTTGAGCTACCAAGGGTTATAGAATACATGTAACGCTTGCCCTGGTGCTGCACACGTGAACAGTCTTGAATATGGCCAGCCGTGAGCAACTCTGCAAACAAGACTTTAGCTGAACAAGCAATGCAACATGGTCGACAGCTGGCTGCTCCAAATCACTGCTTATTTGCAATCGACGCACGGGTACTCTCAATTCGGAAGCAGCACTTGCGCCTAGGGAAAAGTTTCTGGTCGTGATCACGTTTCTTGTTTGTTTTTTTCCATCAGGAACGACGTCGCGGATCTTGCAATGTTCCATTCAATCAACACAGACCGCAGGATCTGTCTACATGGGCAGCGTTACTGCAAAACAAGACTCTTGCCAGCGGCTGATCTATACGAAATCTCAGAATTGAGCCGTTCAGCAGTTGCGGCATGACTCGCGTCCTAGGCACTCTTGACAAATACACTGCTTCGTGATGTTTCAGGGGCTTCTAAGCTCGACGCTAGGGCGTGACGGCTAATTTGCCTTGCGTATGTAGTATGTAGCCTCACCTCCGAAGTGAATGGGCCAAACAATTACACACTTTTTCAGTGTGTCACCAAATGATGACTCCAAAATGTATAAAGTCCATGAGTTCAGGAAGTGTATAGTAGGGATGTTATAGGCAAATGTCTGACCCATGGCCAGCAACCAATGAATCATGTTGCCCCACCTGGCGTCGTTCCTCAGCTCCTTAGCAAGCTCAGAACGCCACCCGAACATGTATCTCCCTTTCAACGGAAGCTCAGACCAACCTGTGTTGGATTGCTCTTCCTTAGCACCAGTAGCAATAAGCAGCAAAGACTGGGATGCAGTAGGAGCCATTCATCAAGCACGATCCAAATGTCCGAACAACTAGCTCCTCATAACAATGCAACAAAAACACATTGCATCACGACATGCTAAACAGACTAATCAAGATGCTTGCTTTGTAGATGAGCTAGTCCGATCTGCCTGAACATTCAAATCACAGCAGTCAAGTTCTCACATTCTCCCCCCAAAAACGGCCCGATGCCAACTCTTAGGTACGGGTGCCGAAATCTCGCCATCCTTTTGCGAGGCTCATTTTACAAGCTTTTGTCATGTATTCCTGGCTCCTGCAGCCCTTTCAAATCGCCAAATTGCGATTATTTTCTCACAGTAAACCCTGCAGTAATCCCACATTGTTTAATTGTGGACAAGCAGTCCTGAATCGTCTCGCCACAAGTTGCTATTTGTGTTCTTCCTCGTGCGGGAACGGCATCGGCGTTGTATTCGCGGCATAGAATCCCCCACCAGTAATTGTATTCCCCTCATTTTTCCAGCAAGCTTCTTCTTATCCCCGACCCGACGCCGGAATGACCCACTTAGGGCCTTGTCCCCCAAGCGCATCAACCCACCAAAGATAGCTTACTGAGAATTGGCCCTGCTTGGTGCTCAACATTGCTGAAACGGGACAATTTCAGGGACCCCTGAAGCTGTTCGATCCTTTCCTTAACCTGCCTCTCAGTATAGAACAACGGGACCCTTGGCCAATCACCCCAGGAGTTTTTAGAATAGTCTTCCCCATGTTCTCCCCCATTGCGAAGAACAAAACTGTATCCGTGACAGGTAACCAAAAGCGACTCCCACAAAAGGAACACACTGCTGCTTTTTCTTGGGGGTCCAGAAGCATGTGCCTTTTCTGGGGGTCCGCAAAAATCAATTCAACAAAAACACAACATCCCCCTTTTGGCTTCCTCTTCGGCTGGGTCCGGCAATGAATTTCAAAACCGATCCCATGTCGCTTTCCTCTTGAAAACAATCCCCTTTTGATCAATCAAACAAAAAAAAAAAAACAGAAAATCCCCCGTTGCAGGGCCAGCCAACCAAATCCTTGCAATGTTGATTTCTCTTGGTGTTGCAGCTTTTTGGCTGCCCCTTTGATGGCTTCCCCTTAGAAAAAACAAACCAAAAGCCAGGGGCCGTACGGCCCACGGCCCGTCTCCACGCGTGGAGACTCCCCGCGCCCACGCGTTCTCGCGAGACCAAGGCGCTGCGGCGCTCCGACTCCAACTTCTCCCGGCGCAGGCGCTCCAGGGCCAGGCGGTCCCTCTCCCGCTGCTCCGCCTCCGCCTGGATGATCGAAAGCCAACCAGTCAGCTTCCCCCTTCCAGCTGCTATGAATATCAAATCCTCTTGAGCAAATGGAAGAAGGGGGAAGCTGTACTATTTTCCCTTCTTGGATTTAAACAGAAACTATCACTACTTCCATCTGCTGAAATAAATGGCTGTGTTTGTCAAATTTAGGTATCCAAAATGGGTTGCCCTGGTAAATGGAAACATGGGCTAAAACTTGCGGTCCCCTGGTAGTTTAATTTTGACCCATACCCAAATAGATTTACGATTTTACCTTCTTGGGTTTGAAGAGAAACTATCAGTCAGCTTATCTCTTCTTCCGTTTGCTGAAATGAATATTGGCTGAATTTACCCTTCTTGGACTTTAAAGAGAAACTATCACTACTGGATTTTGTCAAAGAAATCTTCGGAAGCCAACGTGAAACTATAGGTGGCTTATTGGGGGAAGACAAGGGGATGACAAAACCATAACCGAACTATTGAAGCTGACCACTGAAATGGTGCTACTTCCATATGCTGAAATGAATATTTGCGATTTTCCCCTGGCTCCGCAAACTTGACGCACTGATCCAAACAAATAAAGTTCGTGTCGCAAGGGATGTTCAGGCATGCACTCAACCAACGCCTGCCGATTTGGCCATGGCTCAAAATCCAAATCGTACCCCCAGTGACCATCCCAATCCCCACTGAAATAGGTGCTAACTTGAGAAGGGGTGACACGAAAGGTAGGATGCCGCAAAGTGTTCCCCCTAATGAAAGGAAGGGGCTTGCATCGAAACCATTCAGCTGCGCATGGAGCTCAACAGCTTGACTATGTTACGAGGCAATGTCCGTTCCGCGAAAAGGGGAAGTACTTGTTGACCATGTAAGTTGGGCACTGACGAAGCGAGGGGACAAGGTGCCCCGTGACTTGAGCAAAACGGTGCGCAGAGCGGACCGTTTGGTGTGAAGCGAAAGAGCGGAAGGAGCGAAGCTGCCCAGGCGCGAAGGGGAAAGGGCGGGCGGACCAGGGGCCGATGTTTCATTGGTTTTGCGGCCGGGCCAAGGCCCCATAACCCCCTCAATCCAAGAAGCTAGCCTCCTTGAGGCTGAATTCACCTACCCCATGGTATCCCATTGGATTTGACCCATAGCCATTCTCTAGGGGTGAAACCTCAAACCTCAGGTGGAAGGGCCATGCACCACACCAAGCCGTCCAAAAGATGAACACCAAAACCATTTGTCACAATCACAACCCGGGAATAATTGGCTACCCAGAACCATGCAAAGAATTAAGAAGGCGGCCGCAACTATTTCTAGGGGATTGCCCCTTGCTAACCTTCATCTACCCGAATCGGTTTTGAGCACGTGGCTCATTTGTGGGTCAACATTTCACCACCAGGGGACCGCAGGAAACGGTTTTGACCCACAGCCATTTGAAGAATCCCCGTCCTCCTCCTCCTGGCGTCTCCGCTCCTCCTCCTCGCGCTGCCTCTGCCTCTCCTCCTCCAAACGCCTTCTCTCCGCCTCGCGGCGCCTCTCCTCGCAACGAGTGGACTCGGCCCGGCTTCCCTGACCAGCCCCCCATCCATCCTTTTTGGGTGCAAATAGATGGATTTCTCTTGTTGATGAGAATAAACCACCAGGTAAACCAGGAATCGGCTTCTATTTTTGAAGCAAAACAACCAAAAAGGACACCTTGCCTGACTATCTAAGGGTTGTTGCATTAAAGCCTGGGAGTATGCCCTTGGGAAATGACCCACAATGGTTCGACATAGCACGGTTTTATCCGGCAATATGCCGGAATGGAGTCATTTCTCAGCGGGTGTATGCCAGAGTGCAATACAACAACCCTTAGAGACTAGCTCCCCATCCCACAACAGCTAAGGACAAAGAAGGGAGGGAACCCTTGTTTGGCACTTCCTGGGCCATGACCAAGAGTGAGATACCAATGGGTGGGAACATGCTCTTTGGAGAAGTGAGCAAAGAGATGGTGCGCTTGAACCCCCTGCATGGGTCAGCCATGAGCGTGTCTTCAGCCCCAACCCTACGCTGTAAATGACCTAGGCCACTCAAGCCCTGAGCTAGGCCACAAATCAAACGCACACGCACCAACAAACACTCGGTTGATTTCTGCTCCCCTGCTAAACGTTTAACTTTGAGTGGTTTAATGGAAAACCCATTGGCTGGCAAAAAGTGAAAGTCCTAACATCCAAGCAACATGCACCATCAAACAAGCAAACAAACCACTGGCGTGTGATAGCCCTACTGGACCAGGCCGGCAGCACACAGAACAAAACAACAGCAACACAAGCGGGGAAGCAAGGTTCAAAGGTGGAAAACCGCAAGAACATAGGTTCATTCCGCCAGGGTTTTGCTTCTAGATGCCACAACTTCCTTGGGTAAGACAAGGGGATGACTAAACCAACAGGTGAGGCTAGAGATGGCGCAATTGCCTTAGGGGATGACGAAAAGAACCTAACACCAACTGGCTCGTTAAACCAGGGTGAAGCTATAGATGGCTTCTTGGGGTAAGAAAAGGGAATGACAAAACCAACCAACCAACCAACCAACCAACCAACCAACCAACCAACCAACCAACCAATTAACCACTTGCCAGGGTTCGCCCTGTGCCAGGGCTAGGCCCTAAAAAAAACACACCCTTTCCAGTACAGAAGGGGTCGTCATGGGGCTGAGTTTTTTCTTCCAGTAAGGGAATAAAACCAACATCTGCTGTCACCCCAGCTGCTCCGAGTTTTCGTTCCCGTCGCCCCGTCGCCCGTTTTCCATTTCCGGCCTCGCGCAGCTCCTCGGCCCGCTGCGCCATGGCCTCCCGCTGCTCTTCGTGCAGGGCCTCGGATCGCCGAGTGGCATGCAACACTCACTTGCCCAAAGGACCCAGAAAAATGTTCACCTTTCGGCACCTCCACTAAAAATGGACAACGGGAAACCCAAAAGGTCGAAAGGTCGATCCGCTTTGGGCAACTGAGAACATATGGGAGTCTGTCCATTTTGGAGTCGGCGCCCCGTTTTGGGCGGTGTTGTTTCTTCCTCTCTTTTTTTTCCGGGAAACCAAACACCCCCGTTTTGGGAGTTACTGTATTGTGTCTCTTGTTTTTCCCGGGAGTTGCTGTCTTAAAGGGAAACCAAAAGAAGCTTGGTGGGAGCTGTTCCCTTTTTTCCGGGAAACCAAAAGAGTCCGCAAGACAATCTTTTTGGCCATGGCCCCAAAGTCCCAAAAGTCCAATCCCAAGCCTACCTGGACCTTCATTCGTTGCGTACTTTGTTTGTCTCTTGGGTGTTTCGTAGCAGAAAATTGCTAATCGGGCGGTTTTGAAGGGAACGTGGATGCGAGCATTTTTGGCTATTGCGGCGGCTTCTCTTTGTCAGAAATAGTATGTTGCGTGGAAACATGTGGACACATACCCGCAAAACGGGCGCAACTACCGGCAACACGGACGAAAATAGCCACAAATCGAGCGGGAACCCACTATGTAACAATTGGTAGTTTGCAAGAAGCCACTGTTCATGAAACGAACGTTTCTTGGGGAACGAGCATTTTTTGGATCATTGGGCAAATAATGAAACAACGAAGAGTCCAGGAATTAAAATCATCTATTCGACGTGCTCGAAGCTTCGCCCAGCCTCCGCCAGGTCGAGCATGGGCTGCTGGTCCTTGCGCTTGCGGCGCCGCTGTTGGGCCTCAAAGATCGACAGCAGGTCCTCCATGCGCTCGCGTTCCTGGGTGGAGGTCGGAGCTGGGGGGGGGGAGGAAAGGGACCTGCAACTGGGCATAGCTGTGCGCCAGGATTCTTATCTTCTGTTCAAGCTTGGCTTGCCTGATAAATAGACTATATATTTTATATATACACACATCATGCGGAAAGTTCTACAAGTCGTAGTCCAAAAAGTCCAAAAAGAAAGAATGATACCGGCGTCGCTGGGCTGAAGCAAGGCGCCTTGCGCAGCTGTTCCGCAATGTCGGACTTGCCGGCCTTGGCGCTCTCGCTGGCCAGGGTGGGCTGGCGAATGACCTGGGCGTATCAGGCCAAGGCCTCGTGGCGTTGAACCGGATTCAGAGAGGGGCTGCAAAAGATTTGCTGAGTCTTCTTTCAAGCCATTCGGATTTGCGGATTGCTGGACCAATCATCGAGGCACAGGGATGGTTGGGGGGACTGATGCCCCAACCTCCGATGAACAACAACGCGCTGGAGGACTATTTGCCCAAGGCGCCGCCTTCTTGCGCCACAGGTTTTCGGCCATCTGCTGCCTTGGAAGCCCGGCCTTCTGCACACCACGAACCCGCCTGCCCATGTTTGGTGCTTCATGCTTCAGGCAAAAACACCTTCCTCCTTTTCATTGTTCAGCGAAACAAACACCGGCCGGTATAGGAAAAAAAGACACAAAACCGCGCCCTCGCCCTGGTTTCGGCCAGAAAAACGAATCCAGGGACTCGGTCGGCCGGGCCGCTGCTGGCCCCGCTGCTTCTTCCACGCGTCCCGCTTAGCCACTGCCGAGTCGAAGACGGTGTCCCAGTCCAGCGCCACCTCCTGACGACTGCTCGATTTTTCGTTGCCACAAAGCAGCAAACAGATCCAAAACAAGTTTTCGACAAGGGCGCAGTCTTGGGTGTCGCGGCTCTGTTTGGTTCAGCTCTGAACAAGGTGCCTGCCCAGTGGTCCTAACGGGATCCAACGGATGGGAGTTCAACCACGTTACTCTGCGGGAACTTGTGAGGTTGCGAGAATCAGGAAGCCACTCAAGAAACACACAAGATGAGTGTGTGTGTGTGTGTGCGTGTGTGACTGTGTGTGTGTTTGACGGTGTTCGTGAAAGAGGGCATCGCAGGCGCAAGGAGGCACAGCACAAGGCAGAGGTCAACATGAAAAGTAAACACAAACAGACAAGAAAGGGAACCCTAAGTTTCGTGCTGGTTCTCAGCCGGGAAAAGCTGGAATGACCCCTACAAACCCTCCAACTGGTGGTTTCCTTTATTCGGGAATCCATCCAAAACCGGCTCATTCAACCAACACCCGGACTCGGAGAATTCGGCTCGTCAAGCCGCAAATCAGCCTTCGGAGGGCTCCGGAAGCCTCCAAAGAGGGCTGGTGGATGACTCGGGGGGCAAAAATCCGACCACTGTTCGATACTTTTGGGAATCTCCCCCCTGTAAAAAGGGGGAAAGGACCATGTTTTTGGGAAGCCCTTGTTGAAGCAGAAGAATTTGGTTAGTCCCCACAGCCTGTTCCCAAACTTTGGGTCAAACAAGACCTGTGGGCCCTTCAGCCCTTCCTCCCCCGCAGTTTTACTGGTCGAAATCGTGTAGAAACAAAACTTGGCTGTGGCTCAATGAATTGGAATTACCTAAAACTGCATTTGTTTGCTAAACGGAAAAAAAGAGAGACCAAAACCAGCGTAGCCCAGCTATTCTCACTTCCCAGTGGCCCAAGAAAAGTCCAAACTTGTTGTATGCCACTAAAAAAGTCGAAACCCAAAAGGTGACTAAAGTCTAAGGTTCATAAACTCAGGGGGCATCTCATTTTCAGACATACCCAAAAGGAATACTCAAAAAGCGCATCCATTCCCCACCTGCAGAAGTCCATCAACTCAGGAAGTGAGTAATTTTCATTTTGAGACATGCCCAAAAAGACCAGCAGGACCACAAAAAAAAACGCATCCAATACCCAGTCCATCAACTGCAAAAATGAGAAATTCTCATTTTGGGTTCCTAAACTAGGGGTTCCTAAACTAGGTCCTCCAGTAGAGAGGTTAGAATAAAGGTACCCTTTTTTCTGTAGTCTATTTTGGGGAACCCTCCCCCCAAAAAAGAAACGGAAAAAGGGCACCACTGGGGGACCTATAGTTTCATTTTGAGACATGCCCAAAAAGACCAGCAGGAGGGGAAGAACAGGCGAAAGCCACAAAACGCCCAGATCCAAACCGTTTCCTAGAAGACCCGCTTGCTCCCCATGAACATCTCAATTCCCACTAAAATAGGTTCTAAAATGGGTGGTGCATCTACCAACCAAAATGGTATCCCAAAACGGTTTTGACCCACTACCATTGGTTTTGACAACCACGGCCATTTCATTTTGAGACCCCAGCTGCTCCCCTCCCCAGCCCCGCTGGCTCCTGCACTGCCTGACTTTGCTCCAGCTTCCGCGCCCGCTGCGCCTCGCTGCCGGCCGCCTCTTGCTTCTGCGCCTCTCGCCGGGCCTGGGCCGCGGCCTGCGCCTGACTCGAGAGAATGAGGCGGCCTCACAGGACTCACTTCCCAACGACTGGAGAGCCCAAAGAAAACTGGGCCCTCAGATCCCCAGTTTAAGTTTTAGCGGGTCAAATGGAAACTACCACTAAACACTAAAAGGCTAAAAAGCTACGGGGATGGCTGGGAGCCGCACAAGCATTCGAGGGGTAACTATGTGGAATGGACGAACATTCCAGGCCCGCGATTTGAAATCAACCCCGCCTAGAAGCATACATAGGTGTCCTTTTAGGGGAAATAAATTGGTTTCCCTGGTAGATGAGAAATCGCCATCTATTTATTGACCAAAACCACCAAAAAGGACACCTATGCTCACAAGACGCACTTCCGAACGACTGGGTTGGAGCCCAACGAAAAAATGTTGAATTTACCACCCAATGGGTCCGAACCCGAACAAAAAAGGCAAACAGTGGCTGGAGTGTTTTTGTTGACTAACCCCAGTTTTGTAAATTAGGCACGGTGGCTACCCCCTTCCCAACGCGTGGGTTGAAGCCCCAAAAAAGCAACCAAACTTTTGATTTACCACCAAAATGGTCCAAACCCCAAAAAGTGTTAAAAGTCCACGAAGCCATGAACTCAGGACGTGAGAAGGGCCGGAAACCCGAGCTCAAACCTTCGGCATACCAGGTCTTGGATCAGGAAAAGCTCGGTCTGATGCAAGGATGCCACGGCATGGATACTGATTGGCAAAATGTAGCAACCAGATCGAACCCAAGGGTTGTTCTGGAAGACAAAGGCGCTCTCCAAGCGTGATTCGCCATCCGATTTGATCCTGATTGTTGGCCACGCTGGTTGGCTTGGCAAACGAAACAAAGTTCGGTTCAAGCCCTGGAACCTTCCATGTTCTCCCAATACATGGTATATACCTGCGCTGAGAGTTTGAGACAAAACTTCTCAAGGAAGGCGTGCCTTGCTGAGAGGTGGGCCTCCACAGGACTGGCGGGCTCTTTAAGGTAGATGCCCACTATATCCCACCATTTGGACGGTACGGGTCGGCCAAACCAGGACCATTTCAAGTAGTTCCCTGCCGGTCTTCGCAAAACCGGATCAAGCCTTCCACAAGCGGTATGCAATGTGTTTCAGTCGCTGAGTCGCTGATTCTTGATTGGTGTGGCAGCCCTAGTTGACGTTTCCAAGGTTGGCCACAAGTTCTGTGGAAACTTTCCAGGTGCCACTGGGGTACGAATATTTTGCGTGGGGACACACTTGACCCTATGGTGGACATTTAGATGGCGACTTCTGTCCACCAACCACTTCTCAGGTTTTTGTCTTGCGGTTAGAAGAAGGGTACATTTTTTTCCTGTAGTTTATTTTAGTAGGGGACCCCTCCCCCAAAAAAGAAACGGTAAAAGGGCACGAATTACTGGGCGACCTAGTCCTGGCCGCTTCTCTTCCACGAGCTGCCCGGATGCCTTCAGCGCCAGCTCTCGCTCCTTGCGCACCTGCTCCTCAATCTCATCGATGCGGCGGGTCAGCCTGGGCCCGAGATCCGAGGCAACCGCGAGGCAACCGAAGGAATCGCCCAGCTTTCCTTGCTGGTCCAGTTGGATGGTTTATAAGGGGTCTGTCCATTTCGCGTTCCCTGCAAACCTTTGCCAGGAGGATGAAGCAATGATCCGACCAGCGCTTGCCGGCACCCGATGTAACTCAGCAACTGAACCACGCGAAATATATATATATATATAAGGTATTTATATATATATATATTATTATATATATATATATATAAACAAACATATATATACAAATATATAAAAAAAATCGCACTGCGCGCACTTCTCTGCACAAAGCAGCAGCTCGATCTGGCTGTGGATCAACTCTTCAGGATCCTCCAGGCACATTCGCTCCAACTCATCCTGACTCTCCAGGAAGAGCTCCACCAGCCGGTCAACGCGCAAAGGCTTCTTCTGCCTTCGCTTCTGCGGCATGTTTGCGAGCTTCTCCTGCACATGCGCACGCCGCTATTCGAAGGAACCACACGAAGATAGTCTAGAAGGCTATTAGAAAGCTCAGGATCAAGGGTGCTTCACGCTCGTTCAAAGTTGGGCAAAATCAAGGCGTGCACACAAAAATGCAAGATGAGGCCAATGTGTTCACACTGCTTCAAAAACACGAAGTCCCAACTATGAGCTTCTCAAAATCTCATACAGGGCTTTTCCTTTCTCAATGCGGATCAGTGGAACTACTATGGCTTGCCCTGTCTCTCTATGCTCTCCTTTCTCAATGCGGATCAGGGTTTCTTCGTGTCCTGAGTTCCTCTGCCATGTCCGAGTGATGAAAGGAACCTTAATTTGTATGACGCCGGTACATGTGCGATAATCCACTTACGCTCTGTGCGCCGTTCTTGGCTGAATTCAACTCCAGTCACAAGCCTTCTGTTTGTTGATGACGTTGGCTGCCACTAACTTGAGATGAGCGCCTCCTGTTCCGCATGCTTTCCTGGTTACTGAAATCTAGGTAGAAAGCCTCGAAGACGTGGCCATGGGTCAAAAGCCCGTACCCCCAGTGATCATCCCAATCCCCACTAAAATAGGTTCTTAACTGGGCGGTGCACCTACCCCAACATTGTACCATTGATTTTGACCCATGTGATGAGTGCTTTTGACTTCTGACTATTCCTGAACAAACGAGCCGGTCCTTCAAAACCTTTCGGCCAAACCTCACCCATTGCAGCAGCACCTTCCGCGCGCTGATGCTCACTTCAACCTCGGGGAACCTGAGCCGTGCTCACGCGCAGTGCAGACCACATGTGGCGTGGAGTCCAAGGTCGGCTTGGAAAGGAGAAACGCTTTGAAGGATCTGGGTGAGTGGGTGAGTTGTAACCCAGATATGTTTTGAAGGATGTGGGTAAATTATAACCCAGATATGCTTTGAAGGATCTGGGTGAATTATAACCCAAATATGTTTTGAAGGATGTGGGTGAATTATAACCCAGATATGTTTTGAAGGATCTGGGTGAATTATAACCCAGATATGTTTTGCAGGATGTGGGTGAATTATAACCCAAATATGTTTTGAAGGATCTGGGTGAATTATAACCCAGATATGTTCTGAAGGATGTGGGTGAGTTATAACCCAGATATGTTTTGAAGGATGTGGGTGAATTATAATAGTTCACCAGCCTGAAATAAGGTGGTTCGGGGGTCGTGCGAGGTCGTTATAATTCACCCAGAAGGATAAAATAATCAGCTTTTTGCTTGCACAACTTGACGACAACACGGGTCATGGATATGCATTGTGATGACTCCGTCCGGCCAAATCACAACTGGCGGGGGGACCTTGAACTGACCTGCGCCCTGACCCCAGCACTTGCACTGAAAACAAACTGGAAATCAAGCTAATTGTTCAACGCAGCCCACAAAGCAAACCACATCTGTTGCAATTGGATACTTAGTCCAACCAGCTTGAGCTGTGGTTAGTCTTCTGCAGTCGAGTTCTGAATGTGTGCTCGCATCTGTCTCTATCCCGAAGCTGCCAAAAAAATTGGGAGAGGTATTGGCCCAATGAACTCGGACAGCAAACAAGTTCAGAATATCTGAAGCCTAATTGTCAGGAAGCGTTGCAAAGGAAAACACGTGCCTTTTATATAGGGGGGGTTCTTTCTCTGCCTCCCTTCCCTTCCGTCCTTCCTTTTTGTTCATATTTATCTCATGTCCTGCTTCATGTGCTTTCTTTCCGTCTTGCTGACTCTCTTTGATATTTATTTTGTTATGTCTTTATTCATTTCATGTTTTCTTGATTGAGTTACTTCGGTCTTATTGTGTCGTTGTTGCTTCGTTTGCTCTCTTTATTGCGTTCCTTTGTTTCCTTGAATTCCCTTTCTTTGCTTGTTCTTGTCTTTCCGTTATTGATGTTTCTCCTATTTTGCTATCTTATCTGTTCACGTCTCCGTTTCTTTCTTCATGTATTTATTGTTTGTTTCTTTCTGTTATTCCTCTCTCTCTCTCTCTGTATCTCCTTCTCTTTCGCTCTCTCTCTCTCTCACGCTCTTTCTCTCTCTCTCTCTCTCTGGCAGGGCCTTGCTTGGGTTCTCTGGGTACGTGTGTGTTCAGCAGCTTGTTTGTAGTGCATGTTAGCTAAGGGCTTCCAGTTCACACTGGGCGGGGAAAACATATTGTTGCTTGTGCCTTCTGACCTCTTCTGAGCACCGCTAGGCATCTCGATTTTGAAATGTACAGTGATAAACATGAGAAACGACATGATGACAGCAACTTTCAAAGAAACCTGCAAGGAACCGTTCCGACAACCGAACGGGAAAGTAAGGATGTTTGCAGGATACCACCCACACACACACACGAGGTCACCTTGTTTATGTGCAAACCTAGTTGCCCACAAAAGGGTAACTTTCCGACCAACAAAACAAGAACACATCAGAACCACATGCCACTTGACACGCAATAGGACATCTCTAAAGATCAGGTAGATCCCGCTACTAGTACTGTGGCGATTTCAAAAAAACAAGGGACTTGTTGTAGTTACGTCAAATGTAGACATGTATGTATTCTACACACTTTATAATAGATATATGTATATATATGTATATATATATATATATGTGTATATATATATGTATATATATATATATATGTCACATTGTGTGTATATGTGCGCTTTCAGCGACCTCCAGGGGTTGTTTGTGATCTGTCCGGCCCCGCCTAGGCTTCTCCGGCTTCACCGCCACGTTGGCCGCCGCCAGCGCCGCCGGCACCCGCCGGGGGTTCCCGTTCCCCGCGCGCGCGCGCACCGCCGAGAGGGCTGAGGTCTCCTGGGCCCTGCGGCGCTCCGCGCCCTCGAAGGCCTAGCAGGGGAACAACAAAAATGAAATTTTCGCAGTTAAGTGGTTGGATTCCAACCAAACATGGGAAAAATGTGTCCCACCAAGAACCATGCATCGACGCGCAAAAATGCATCCCTTGGGAAACGGACATTGCGTCCTTTGATGCTTCCGCCTCTGAAAAAACGGAGAATGGGGAGCTCTGGTCAATTCAACAGCTTTTGGACCTAGAAAGGGAGTGGTCGCTGGGGTCATCGGCTCTAGCGGTTGGGAGAGAAGGCGCAAATCGACATTCGGATTGGCAGATCAAAAGCGACAAAACGCCTACAATGCACCACGAACAGGGGGCCTGACCAGGTCAGGTTCCATTGAAATCATGGTCAATCTGAGTGGTAAACGGGGCTCAAATGGGTGCTTCTCAAAATCGGGGACCCTTTTGGGATGATGCTTCAAAAGGAGAACCAAAAGGAAATCACTTACCTGGAGGGGGTACCCCTATTTTGAGAAACACCCATATGGCTCTGCGATTTGGCAACTACAAAACCGACACTGCCGTCCAAAAAAGGGAAGATGCGCCAGGGGATGTGTTTTGTTGCAGGGCGTCCTTTCGGCTTCAACCCTGGGTCTTGGCACTTGGGACATCATTGCCTTAGGAGACCAACGTGCATGAGACATGACATGTCTATATAACTCACTTCCCAAAAGATTTAAAGTACAAGAACTCAGGAAGTGAGATAAACCGGAAGCAAACCTTGGCGGCACGCATCTGGACCTTGCCTCCTCCTCCAAATGTCGCTTCAGCAGCTCGGGGCTCGAGGGCGGCCGCTCATCGATGCTTTGCGATGTTTGGCCCTGCACCGCCAGTGACGCCATTTGGGTCATCTGAGCAGCTCTGGCCATGTGGTTGGCCGAATCCACCACCGCCCTCGGCAAAGCGAGCAAGCAACACGACTGCGCATGGGGCAACGCCTTTAGTGATCCAAAAGGTTGTTTTTGCGGTGATGAAACAGCAAGGATTGGAGGATGATCACTCAGCCATTGGTTCAATTGAATACTCCGGATGCGCGAAACTACCTGGAAGATTCCTATGCAACAGTTTCAGCGCTTATTTTGTGTGTTCAAAGCCGCTCAAAGCCTTCTTTCACTACAATGATGCAAGTTTCCCGACTGTTTGAAGCGAGGGCACAACTGTGATCATCCTACATCACCCCTACAGCAAAGCAATAACTAGCCTCCCACCAGGAACCTGACAGTGGGCCCAGGTAGTTTGCCTAGGTGGCCTTTGGAAAAAACAGATGGCCCTGATAAATGGAACAAACCCCACCTAAGCCAGTGGAACCCATCTATTTTTAATCAAACTCACCTCAAAACAACCATAGGTTTAAGCTACCAACCATAGGTGGGAGGGTAATTTGATTTGTTCTCTACTTGTAATCAAACTAGCCTAAAACGGACACCTAGGGTAATTCGTTTCTTTTCCAGGGATTTCTCCTTTGCCGAGGTGCGGCTGCCGAATCACCCGCTGGCGCACGGGCTGCGGCTGAGGCATCTGAGGGCTCTGGCCGGGGCGCGCGGGCTCCGGCGCGAAGCCGCTGAGGACCCGCGGCTTCTTCCGGCCATCCTGGCCAAAGGGTGACACGGCACGGGCTGGGGGTGCCCCCCCTGTCCACAGTGCCACGGTGCCACGGAACTCCCCCCCCAAAAAAAAACATAAACTTTAAAAGGAGAAGAAGAAGTAGGAAACAGTCAGGTTCCATCTTAGTGGAGGGGGGGGGGAACCTGACTTCCAAAATTCGGATATGTGGGTGTGGGTCAAAATTGAACCACGAGCGTCCATATTTCCGTTTACCAGGGTTCCGTTTTGGGTACCTACTCTTGACCCACAGCCATGTGAGAGCTCCGAGACCAACCCCTGGACACCACAGCTGGGTGCCAAATAGGTTCCGTCGCTCGGCAGGCAACTCAAAGCATGGCTGAGTTGTTGGCTTGGGGGCGAAGAGTGGAAATCAGCCAGCCTTCAAACTAGTGCCTTGGCGGCTGATTGCTATTGGGAATGATTTGTTTCATCAGAACCAATGGAAACAAATGTGCTTGCCCGTTGCAATTGCACAGGGCAGGTATGCCTAGCCAGCCCAGGCCTACCCAACATGCACCAACCTGCAGTGTTGAAAAAGTGTGCATCGCCCGCTAGAGTAGCAGGACGGTGAAGAGTGAAGTCACGCGACATCTGACCAAAGCCGTTCGCACAAGTCCAAGTTATGTGGACTCCTCACTTCCTGAGTGGTCAAAACAAGTCAAACATCGTTGTTTACCACTTAAATGGCCTTCCCAAAAAAGTTTGTAAATTCCAGAAAGTAAGACTCTGGGCTCACTGAAGGCAGCAGTTGCTCTCCAGCCACTCTGGGCGGGGATGCAAGAGGGTCAGGAGGAGTTTCTGAGAGCCCTGGTGTTAGAAGCAGGTACAGCCAAGGAGCCTGAGCAACCCGAGTAACAATAAAATCACTCTGGGCAGGAAGGTGCTGTCATGGCGAGCCCTCCTCCCTGAGACACCGCCGTCCACTGCGTCTGCAACAGAATGTCCCCGCCTTGCCATCGCGAAGGCTGGCGCGAATCACCACCGGCTCCTGTCACCACTCCGGGGGCCGGGGGGGGGGGGGGGTGCGAAAGTGGTTCGAGAAGATCCAATGGGCACACCATGCCCACTAGAACAAGTATACCATTCAATGCGTTGCTTGGGAACTAAGTGTCCGTCTCTAGGACATGGGGTAGTCTTTTGGGCCTAGCGCGCAGTAGCCAGCACCTCGTCGCAAACGGTGCGACACGGCCTGTGCCCAATCACCAGTTCGGAGCAATGAGGTGCGGCAACCAAATACCTATCACACACACACACACACACTGGTCCCGCTGGCATGTCGCTACCCATCCCTCAGTTCCACCTTCTGGCCCAACCCATGTCGAGCCTCATCAGCTGCAAGCTCTGGCTCATCTTCTGAAGGCCGCGGCTCCTCTGCTGCCTCAGGCCACGTTTCGGCAAGCAAGCGGTGGGGCCTTGCATGCCCTGCACATGTCACTTTGCCAGTTTCCTTGGCCATGCCCGTGATTTTTCACTCCAAAGCAGCGTTGAAGCCACTCTGCCAGCCAAACGGAAACTTGGAGAAGCCCCCCTGCCAAAAGCCTTGGGTCGGAGTTCTGCAAAATGGCGCCCTCCAATTTAGCCAGCGGGGCAGCGGACCTATTGTACAGAATATCTAGCAGTTAACGCGGAGCAACCTCGAGGACAGCAATTGCGGCTCGAGCTTCTACAAGAGATCGTGGGCCCGCATCCCTGATTGCATCGTTGCACGTACATCATGGCATAGATGTGAACGGAACGCACATACCTCGTAAGCAATGCTGTTTTACACCGGGCGCTTTCGTGAAGCGCAAGCCAGGCAAATGCGGAGCCTGTTTGCATCTGCCGGAATTCTCACTCGCAATTCGACTAGTGGGTTATAGAATTGGCACAGCCCTTCCTTTTCAAGTATGGGGCAGCGATTGGCATAGATAATTACCATCCACTATGCAGCAGGTGTCAAAACTAATCAGTTAACCATTTGTCCAAAAAGAATTTCCTCCGGGCCATCCACTAATTAGACTCATGTTGAAGCCATGGGCCCTAGTGAGCCTCGCGAATATGTTGCATGCGTACCACGCTTCCGCCCGCTCCCTGCCCGGCCTTCTCCTTCTCTGGCGTGTAGGCGGCGACTCGCGAGCTGCTGCCGCCCATGTGTCATGGCGCGAAACGCGAAACTAGGCCATGGCTGCGGAAAGGCTACCCCGCCCGAACAAAAAAGTAGAGACTGCAGCTGGGCTGGGGTGGGTTTTTGTTACCAGGGTATGCGGTTCTCCGTTGTGCAAAAAGAAACTGCCTTGCGTGAAACTTGGGCGCCTTGCTGACCGGCACGGCTAGAAACGGTTCGTCAGCATGTTTGCGCTACGTATTCATGTTTCTGGCAAGCCGCCGGGTTGTGGTTCGGGCATTTGCTCAATTGCGCCTGGTCCGGCGATTCCGGCTGCCGCTGTTGATCTGTCAGTTGTCTGACAATGGCTCGAAAAACATGGCCTGCCAAGGCAGCCACAGCCACACAGGCTTGAGCACGGACAGGGTTCGTGCGGTGCAATGCGACACACCCACTAAGAAACAAAAACACTGTATAGGTGACTTGGCACTGCACAGAAGGGTTCCAAACAGGAAAGGAAAGGCCTTTTCCTAGCCCTGAATGCCTGTTTCCAAGATTTCCAGGTGTTCCTTTGCTGCAGCTTCCCAACTGCAACCAGCAGGGTTGCTACGAGTTCAAGCTTGAAACATGCCAGCTTCAAGAGGGCGCCCAACGATGTCGCTAATGTTGAATCCATATCAATCTACCTCAGTTTAATGCATAGGGGGTTCCTGTTTTAGTGGTGAATCAGACCGCGTTGGGAGGAGCCCCCACCCCCTATTGACAAGGCTCCCTATACTTCCTCTCAAACTCACCTTTCCTGGGCAAAAAAATGGGATGTTTGAAACCGAAAAGGGAAACATAAACCCCCGCATGACTAGACAGGTTGGTTGATTCATCCGGGGGCCCACCAAACGCCGACGTCTCCGATTTTTCCGTCCGCCGATGGCCGCCGCCTTTGCGGAGCGCCAGGTCCATGAAGCGCAGCGCCGCCGGCAGCTGCTCCAAGAGGTTGCCGCCGGGCACGTCCTCGAGGCTCAGGCGCTGGTACACCAACCTGCCGCTCGAAGGCGCCAGTTTGCACCATGTCGATGTCTGAGTGAGAAAAGGAGAGGGGAAACAGGTGTTGACCTTCTTTTTTTTTTGTGTGTGTGTGGGTGTGTGTGTTGGATGGGGGGACAAGGAGGCACATCAAGAGAGAGCCAAATGCGTTTGGGAGCAAACATGTGGGCTGAAACTATGGAAGCATGGAGGGGCCGACTGGAAGAACAAAGAATCTGTGGCCCTTCAACTTGAATGCACAGACACCAATTCACCCTGCACATCATCCGACGCCGCCAGAGCTTGACAAACGCCACCTCGACTGTGACGTGGGCCAGCACGGCCAAAAAGCCGTATCATGGTCAAACGCACATCGAGCCTTGCACGGCGATTTGGCCATGGGTCAAAATCCAAATCGTACCCCCGGTGAACATCCCAATCCCCACTAAAATAGGTTCTAAAATGGGTGGTGAATTTACCTACCCCAAAATGGTACCATTGGTTTGACCCACAGCCATTTGCTAACAGTGAGAAGTGGGGTTCCTCACCCGTCAATGGTCGGCACACGCGCCTCTCAGGCCAAGGTGTGGCCAAGGTCGGGTGGACCACCAAGACATGCCTGGGCTGTGGCTGCCCACAGCCACAAATGCAGTGGTTCCCCTATTAAAGGCGCTGCAAGTAGAAGAGGAGCATTTGTAACCCATGCCCATGAGCAATACAAACCTGTTGGCCTCATGTCCCAGAGAGTTTGAGGATCTGTCTAAATTGTCCCTATGCCGGTGCCTCACCTGAGCCGTTTGTCAGAGGTGCGCTTCAAACAAATCCTCTTCGAAGATTTCCACAAATAAAAACAAATACGAACTCATGAACAAGTGAAACATTGACACTAATTATAACTTATCTTCTTGACTGTGAAAGATAAACTCATTAACAATTACGTTGTTATCGCAATTCGAAGCATTGCGTAAAAACAAAGAACACATTATGAAAACTATTGAAAACTGAGGTTCCTAACTTGTTTGCACAACTCCTCCCCCCCAACATATAACCAGCAACGTCAAAATGGGACGGAAAACACGCGTCCGAAAAGATGCAACAGCGGGTAGTCGCAAACCAGAACAGGCCGGAAAAGCCCGGAACGCCGAAATGGCGTCAAAGCGTCAAAGCGTCAAAGCATGCGCCCAGGCAGTGTGTGATGTGTGACGGCAGCATGTGGCAAAGCAGTCCAGCCCGGACAGGGCGGAAACCCACCCCGCTGCACCATGATTCAGAAACATACAACGTTCAGGTGTTCTAATGGGAGGGGGAACGGGACCGTCAGGCAGTGCCCTCAATCTTGTCACCCCTCTAAAGACAATTCTCAAGCAAAGCCTCTGCGAGGCCAGCTTTTTGGATTAGAGTGAGGGTCATCTTGCTTTCTCCAGTTGCCAAAGTGGACTTGTCTCTTCTCTTTTGCCAACATCGGCTGCCTGACATGTCTGTGTGTCTCTGTGTCTGTGCGTATGTGCATGTGTGGCAACTTCCGCCTACCCTAGAACCCACTGCTGCCTGCTGCTCCCTATCTCTCCATACCGTGGCGATGACCAATACGAGCGCCTCGGTGAACCTTCACACGACGCCACGTGGGGAAAGCAACTATGGGACGCGCAAGTTGCAAACATCATTCCTCCCGCTTTTTTCACAGCTTTTCCGGCAATCCGAGCTCATGGATGTCTATGCGCCAATGCTTTCAGCATGGGCGAAGCGATTTGAAAGCACTGGCTGGAGCGAGCGCTGTACAGTTGCAGCAAATCCTGGGCCCCCAGCACATCTAGAGAAAGGCCACGATTGCCAGCAAACGAGATTGCAAGTAGCCAGTGGCGCTGATGTGGAAGCACTTGACCCCAGATTAATCAAACCCAGTTTTATTCATCGGGAGGCGTGTTCCCTCCAAAAGTGGTCTGATTCCCCACTAGAATCGGACCCCCCCCCCCGTTGTAAGCTGGGGTTGATTTATCTGGGGTCAACAGCAAGCTACTGGGGTTGATTAACATGGCTGCAGCAGTGAGCTTTGAATCATGGCCTGAAAATTCCAGGGCTGAGGCTGCACACCAGGGCCGAGGCCAGCCCTCCTATGCCAAGTGCTCTAGGGCCAGCTTTGGCCGAAAATTCATCTGCGGAAAGTGGTCCTCGCGAAACGCAAAGCGGGATATGGCGGGATCGAAACAACGGGCTTGCGGCACCTACCCTCCCACCAGTTAATGTGGAACCTGACGTTCGGGGGGTCCTGGAAGACTATTCTCCTGTTAAAGAGACCCCCCCCCGTCAGGTTCCATGTTCATTCGTGGGAGGGTATATTGGGAGGCCTGGCCCTACAAACACGGTTCAGGAAGGTACCATGATTGGAAGTACAAATGGGATGCTTGTTGGAGCTTTTCCATCTTGCTGGCAATGTCAGCAAACACCGACCAACCCTCTACCCGTTTGGGGAAGTAAGAGTACAAAAGGCCGCGGCGATGATGAGTTGATTACATTTGCGTATGCAGAATTGAAGCTGATATCTAAAGGATAGCTGGAATAGATCTGATCTACTCAGAAGGGGAAACAGGGCATGAACAGGCACCACACACTGCATCACACTGCCATCCACAAACAGCCCTTGTTCTCGACAACGTGACGAGCAAGCAGGGGCAACATTAAAGTGTACATCAAAGCTTCCTGATTTCCCCTCAAATGCCCAGTGGCCATGGGAAAAGTGGCATTTTTTTTGGGTTGAGACAAAAGGGCGGGATCCACTGGGCAACTGGGTCCCTGTCGCTCTTACTCTCTGGTGCGTTTCGGGGAGCCCATCCTTGTTCTCATCTTCCAAGCCTCCGCCCTTCCACTCGGGCAGGCGGCCCAAATTGAAAGGCACAATATCCTGGTTGCCATGGTCGTGCAGCTCGTACTCTTCCCAGGTGAGGCAATCCTCGTTGCGCCCAAAGAAGAAACACGTGCATGTGCGGTGGTGAAATTACACCTGACTGGCCTAAACGAGCAAAGCTTATGGCTGTGCCAAGTCGGGCTCCCATTGGTGATTTGTGAAACCTAGCAGGCATGCAAACGCCTTGCATTCATTGAAGCAAGCATCACTACCAAGAATGCCCCGTGTCACCGACCCACCCGCTGCCATCTTCAGCAAAAGTGGCATGTTGCAACAAGCAATCGTTCGCAAAGCACAGCCTACGAAAGGCAGCGTAATGAGCTTGTTCCGCATCCACGCTTCGCATTGCTGGACATGTTCAACACGCCAAGGCGGCACCAACGTCAGCATGGCAGCAGCTGGCAAGTTTTGAAGCACCCTTCCACCGAAACTCCTAAAGCAAACTGGCTTCCTCCAATAATTGTGATTGGCTAAGTAAAGCAAACTGGGTTGGCCCAAAACAGCTCGAAAGCAAATCTCGCTCGCTCACATCCTCCAAGCGTCCGAGCAAACCTTGGGCCCATGCTTGAGCGAGAAGGTGAGGCGGTACTCCCCGTCCGTGGCGGTGTAGCGGACGTGAACCATGGCTCCCTCCTGGCTAAAGCTGTAGGTACCCACCTTGGCCAAAAAAATGAGGCCCTGGGCTGCAGGAAATGGCCAAGTTAACACCACAGTTCAACCTGAGAATATCTGAGAATCCTGTTCGAAAGAGCAAAGGGTGCAGTTTGACAAAGATCGACAACCGCAATCGGGAAAAACAAAACAAACTTCTCAGAACAGATTCCTTCTCAGCATGTTCAAAGACGAAAGGCGCCGATCTAGCTTGAATGTCAATCCTACATTTCACACAGGCACATTGACCCACAAACCTGCCTCGTCCCACAAGATTAAGAGTCGTGATGCCTGCTTCCGCGCACTGGAAAACAATGCAGCACGATCCTGATTTGTTGATGTCGTCTAACTGCTGGATGCCATTCAACTCTAAAATTGTGGTCCGGTGGCAAATGAACCTCCCCCTCTTGCCCACACACTTGCGTAGAGCTTCTGGCTCAAGTTAGCTGTGCCAATCAGAAACCATAAGAACTATAGTAGGCGCTAGCAGGCGCTAGCAGAACTACAGTAGAAGGGAGGGGCAGTCATGCCCGTGCCGGTCTTCACCATCCAACCACGGAAGAACCGGTTTGATTCGTTGCACGCGACCAAAAGCCGGGCAAACCGGCCCCCCGCTGTCAGCCAAGTCACGCAAATCCGCTTCCGGATGCGATCCGCGTCGTGGGCGTTGGGCACAGCTCCCTCTGGAACACCTTCCGATCTGGCCTCACGGGAGCTGGCATGGGCCTTCAGGCCAGTGACCAAGACACTTGGCATTTAATTTAGGCTCCAAGAAGGGAAATGGCCTTTTAGCCCTCGTTGTACCAAACAAATGGCAATTGCAATTTACTGGTGGTTTCAGAGAGTCGCACCAAGACCTCACAACTCAGAAAGCTGACAGAACAGGCTGTCAACATTTTGTGCTGGATTACGCACAATTCTCGTGTTCGAGGCCATTTCAAGCGCTAATTCAAGCCACTGGAAGCTGCTCAGTACGGATTGTTGGAAGCTGCCCATTTCTACTTGCCGAAGGACCTTCATGAGCACCAAGTCAAGTTGGACTCCCCTCCCTCGGAAGCTGCGGCAGCTAGTCATCACGTTCAACTAAAGAGATTATTAGTACGATCCATCATGAGTCGACTAAACTGTAGTCTGTGAAGTGTCCGTTTTGATCAGGTCGCCGTCCTCTTCAAAGGTTTTTCTTTGCTTCAAGTCTGTCCCATGACAGGCTCGGAGAAACCGCGCAGTGAAGCCGGTTGCATGTTGGCTGGATCGCCTGAATCCACTGCGCCAACCGCCCCGAAACTGAGGTATATAAATCAGCTCACAGGAAACAGCCTAGAAAACGTTTGGCCCCGATTCATCCCCGGCATGCTGGCCTTTGGGCGTCAGGGCACGGAAAGAATGTTGGAATTCCAAGTTGTCGGGGGGTCACTGGACTTCCCCAAATCAGCGGCCCAATTTTCTGGTGTCCATCAAAACTGCCACCGTTGGAGATTCCTTTAAAAGGGGACATGGAATCGAAGCCCTGGCTATACAAAGCCAGAAGCATGGCGACAGCGCGCCATGAAGCTCCAATCAGCCAGGTCGCGGGGTTGCGGTGTGTGGCAAGGTCGACGCCATCCACGAGCACGGCTTCGGCGACATCACGAGGGCACGGATCCTGAGACCGCGTTTTGTTTATAGACTGCGTAATCGTGCCTTGATCGGGGCTCGATGGCGTAATCGGGTTCCGATCGGTGTAATTGGGGCTCGATAGCGTTGATAGAAATATCGTAGGTAAACAAATCGAAATAACTAGAGAAAAAGATAAGAATATGTAAGTAAATAAGCAAAAATAAAGTAGAAATAAATAGGAGAAGTAGGTAAATAGAAATATATAGAGGTAAATGGAAATAAATAAAAATAAATAAAGATTGGCAAAACCAAATAAATAAACAAATAAGACATACGGCAACTTGGGCTCCAAAACGCAAACTTCTTGCTGATGCCTTGCACAACGTTTAAGCCATCACAACAACCATCAACCAACTTGGGCTCCAAAACCCAAACTGTACAGGCAATGCTAGGCGACACCACTAACAAACAATACAATTCCAGAAGCAAGACCCGAGAAGCCCGCTCAACGCCTGGATTCAAAAGCCATAGCCAACAAAGCCATCCACCTGAAGGATTCTCGAAGAAAGCCAGGGCCAGTCAAACTCCTATCTACCCCCTTTGTCACTCAGGTCATCTTGTGCCCATGTTTGGTTTCTCATCGCTTTCCAAACCGCGCGTCCTTCGATGTCTTACTTGGTTCGGAGGTCTGATCGGAGCGGATATACCTGCCTTCGGTCAGCATCCTTATACTCAGAAACAGGAGGGACCAAGACCACTTCGGATACGCCCCCCAATTGCATATTCTTGAGGCGCAAGGCACATGCGGAGGGAATGACGCATCGGAACACGTGGGAAGCTGTTGTTGTCCGCGGTGCGATGCAACCCGTGTCCAATGTGGGTGCCTATTGCAGACGTAGAACACTCATGTAGCCAAGGCTCTATCAGAACCAGCGCATGGCAGCCGTCCTGAACCGTGGCCAGTTGAGTTCTGTGGCTGCAAGCAAAGCGTGGGTGTTGTGATCACAGTCACTGGGCCACCTTGAGCCTATGGCACTAGCGATCTCAACAATAAATCATGTCTGACTGTCTGACGATCCCTTCAACCACACATTTGCGACCAACAGCTGCTGCTGGCTATGTGGTCTCTGCCCAAGGCTTCGGAGTGCTGGGAGGTAGGCTTCCGGAGTGGTGGAAGGTCTGGGACCACTGTGGAGCCGGACGTTCCGGAGGGCTCCATAAAGGAGTTGTTTGGAGAGGTTCCTGCTGCTCTATGGGTGTGGGAGGTGTTCCGGATGGTTCCGGCATGTCTTTTCGCGGCTGCAGCTGGGTTCCTGAGAGTTCTTTGGAGACGTCCGTGCAAACCAGTCTGCAGGGACATCCATCCATCCATCCATCCATCCATCCATCCATCCATCCATCCATCCATCCATGACAGAAATCCTGGCCATAGGGCTGAGAAAAAGAGTCATACAATGCCGACACCAAACAAACGTGCGCATGGAACATGGTGGCAGGTTCAAGCGGAAGCGACAAAGAATGAGTTCACTTGCGCTGCTTACTAACATTCCAATAGCCAAGGCTGACATATCCTGACTCCAGCACCCAGATAATGTACTTCTGATGTCAAGTTCAGGTCTGGAACCCCCCGACCCTCGCCTGGGGCGGCAGCAACCGCAGGAAGCGGCGGTAGCCCACCCACTCCGACTGGCCGCCGCGGCCCCCGTAAGCCGCCAGCTGCGCAGCGTTCTTCCGGAGGTCCTCAGGTCGGGAAATTCGCCTAGCGTGAGTCGTGTAGCTTTGACTCGCCTCCTGTTCGCAAAACGACGCAAATACGAAAACACGGCAAAGTGGGCTCCTCCAAATGGTAAATTGTGGGCTTGAACTTTTGGCACGTGTTGACACCTCTCCTTTTTCTGCCATGGGAGAATTGAACTCCGACTCAACCGAACGGACACGGTTGCTCCTCACCCGATCGCTCAAAGCAGATCATTGGACATGCCGAAGAGCCCAAAATCCGAAAGCCTCTGTGATAAAAGCCACTTAGCCCCAAGCAAACATCCAAAGTAGGAGGTCTCAAACACAGCCAAGAACTCAGCATCCACTCAACCCGGATCATCCTCGAGCCAAGAGGGGACCCTGTCGGACATTCCAAAGGGGCGGCATCCAAGTCAATCTAAGCCAATCCAAGCAATTCCATCCCAACCCCCCCTTCCCAAGCAACAAAACGTCAGCTTGCTGGACGGGCCCTAAAAAGCACGGTGCCCATGGGTCAAAAGCCAAATCGTACCCCCAGTGAACATCAACCAGTCCCCACTAAAATCGGTCCTACAATGGGTGGTGAATTCACCTGCCCCAAAATGCACCTCCGGCTCGCCCGGGTGGCTCTGGGAACCCCGGCTGAGTGGTGACCCACCCGGAGCCAGCGCTGGAACCCGCACTCGGACACGTAGACTCCGTCACAGCGAGGGCGCCTGAGCGGCGAGAGGCGCTGGTGGCGCTAGTGGCGCTGGCCACGCTTCTCTCAACCCGATTTCCCGTCCACGAACACCCAGAGAATGCGAGAAGAGAGACGGGAAATGAAAGGTGGGAGATACAGACATGACACCTTCCTACATCTCAGAATGTATTGTTAGCAACAACGCTGAGGTCTGCAAGATTCTGCAGAATCTCTACTTCCACAAAGCCAATGCCCACGAAATCAGGTGAAAGTGACCCAAGAATGCCCGGGGCAAGAACCAAATGTTAAAAAGGATCATATAGAGAGAACATCTGCAACAGAATTCCCAGAGAATTTGCCTCTCCAGGCCCGGCTCTGGCAAAATGCATTTCAGACTTCACTCCTGGGAGGTTTCGTGGATGATTCGGGGGTCTGAAAGTGGGATGCGTAGTCACGAATCCGCCAACCTGGACATGCAAACAAGCTCTTTCACAAAAAAAAACCTGCTTTCAGATACAATCGGCGGCACGAATCAGGGCAACCCATCAAGGTGGCTGCGGCTCAAACTTCAAGAGCTAGGGTTGCGCGGTTTAGTCTTTGGTTCCATTTACCAAGGTGCCATTTTGTTACATTTATTTGAGCCACAGCCAGGTGAAGATCCAGTTTTCCTGCCAAGCGCTTTGCCCGCCAGAGCCCCGGTGGATGCCGGGCCACGTCAGCTGCAGGAAGTGCTTCTGCCACGCTCCCCGGGCCTTGCCGGTGCCCCGCGGAAGCTTGGGCTGCAGGTTCCAACGCTGACAGGTGGCGACGGTGCGGAACTGCCAGAGGTCGCCCTGAGGGCGCCGAGTGTTCCATTTATCTCGTCTTCCCCACAAAGAGAAAATGGAACCATAAATGGAATTCCAGGGGCCAGCTCCCCTCCCCCAATTCCATTTTTAAGGGCTGGGGATCTTGGTATATCCAGGGGCGGGATTCCACCCTTTAGCATACATGACAACCATCCTAAGCACGGAAACAATTGGCAAGAGCGGTGAAGACTTTGAAAGGGTTGATCGAAGGATGGACCACCCCCCCCCCCCGATGTAAGCACGGAAGCTGACAGAACACTCCAATTGCGCAGGTTCTGCTTCAGGGCCGGTTCAGAGTTGAGCGCTTGGATTGCCGAAGGCCAAACTAGGCAAAGTCCCCAGCAAGCAAAAGCCAACGACCTTCCAAGAAAGCCATTCAGGACCAAATACTTATGTGTGTGTGTGTGTGTCAACATGCTGGGACCCGGACCCCCCTCCCCCCCAGAAAAAAAATAATGATAACAACAAAACAACAACTATAGTGCTTGTCATGTTTCTTTTGGTGTCCCGCGCGCGCGCCGAAAAAAAAACACGGGATCCGGCCCCCCAAGGAAGAAACGACCAGGAGCAACGGGGCTTTCTCTGCTGGTTCCCGCCGCGAAACCCAGCGGGGAAGTCTTCCTCAAGCCGCGCCTGGCATGCTGCCTCGTGGGCCTGCCGGCAGAGGCGGCTGCAGGTGGCCACCGTGTGCAAGCCCGAGGCGTAGAGCACGCCGGGGTGCAGGACCTGACGATGGCAACATCTAGGGCCATTCTGTTGACTGTTTCTGGGGGTCATCAAAGTCAGAGCATGGAATGGTTCTTTTTTAACCTACCACTTAGGGGCTGACACAATGGGGCCGGGAGATGGCTGGCTCCTCGTTTTTGGGGCGTTTTGTGCCCCCCTTTGTGCGGGTGGTTTCTCACTTCCCGAGTGGATGGCCCAAAACAACCGGCCGAACTTTCTGTTTGCCACTAAAACGGGGGTGCCCCAAACGTATCAAGTCTATGAAAAACCAAGAGGAAAACCGTTCCATGTCGGTATGCGGAAAGGATCAACGGGATTTCCCGGGCCTAAGGCCAAGCACGGGAAGGTAACTTAATTAAGGGCATCAAGCAAAACAAATTCAACTCAACATGCAAATGATCCATCGAGCAGAATGAGGCAACAACCAAAAGAAGACCTTCGTCTTGGGTTTAGGTGAGTGAACGCTATATTGCGCTTGAAACCGGGAAAATGCGAGCACGCATGATCCAAAATGTTTGACACCCGCCAAGGAACCAGCCCCTTCTTCCCCTCAGAAACGCATGCCATCCCCCAAGAGCAACACTTGTCTGACATGTTGCCCCCGCTATGTGCCGTGCGTTGCTGACCCCAACACTTCCTGCAGTGTTTGCCATGTTTCGCACCTCCAGTGCTGAGTTGCTCAAAGGCTGTCCAAGCAGGGATCCTTACATGAACTACACCTGAACATTGCAACTGTGATTCGGGCACGAGCCTGTGCCCAGGCAATGGGTAAGTTGGGGTAAACAAGCCACAAAAGAAAGGTTCCCCAAAAGCAAACCAATCCCCGGTCCCAAAGATCAGGGTTTCCCACACACCAGAGAACAACAACCAAAGGAAAACAAACCAAACCAGAAAAGGATACCCGCAACCTAGATCGACGATGAACCGCACGGGCGATCCCCACCAACCTACCCCGGGCCGAAGTCTCTTTCTCCTCCGACACGAAGGCGGTCGACGTGAGGGCCCGGCGACGCTCATCCGAGGCGCGCCGGATCCAAAACTTGAGCCAAAACACCACAGGTCGGTCACTAACGCGACGTCCCTGATGATGATATGAACCATGGCTAATCACACCCCCCTCACGAGGAGCCCGTCATATGACGGGTGGAGCGTGCCATTTACTGATAGGATTTAACTGCTCGCATGCGTCCGCAAACAGCTGGACACTACCGCCGTCAGCGGTGGAGCAAACCCACAAAGGCAGTTGCGCGACATCCCGGGCATTAAATTCCCGCCACCACCCCGAATTAATCGGGGTAACGCTGTCCAACAAACCTTGTGGAAAAGTCCACATGACGACATTAGGTCACAACTGTTTGCATCAACAATGCAAGAAGTTTAATTCTTATCAGAAGCCATGAAATAAAAGATAACGTATGTCCATTAGTACCCTCGCCTAACGGCAAGAGGTACCCCTGACCATGCGTACCTGAAAAATGCTTGAATTCCGCAAACCCGGGAGTAACCCCCCATCAGTTTGCTTTCCCTCTCACTCATACTGCTTCCGGATGAGCACGTCCAGCAGCTCAGCAGCGGTACGGGAGAGACATGACCTCCGCGCCTCAGCGGTCCGGGAGGAACATCACCACCTCCACACCGCGCCGACCATTGGAGAATGGACGCAAGCCTATCGGCCGCAATCCCCGTGACTCAGCCTACCGGCTATCGTCACGTCTCCTCCGGTCACGCCCGCCCCGCGCACGGTCCCTGTCACGATCCCTTTCGGATCTCCTGCGATCATCTCGCCTTCGATCTCGCTCCCGATCGAGTGAATCATCATCACGACGATCACGAGCATCGTCCCTCCTCCTGTCGCGATCATCCTCGCGCCGCGGACGGTATCTGCGCCTCCTCGACTCTCTGGAATCCCTGGTGTCCACGGTCCTAACGGACCTCCGAGAAGGAGTACGGGAAACATCCGATTCCCTATGCCTCCTCCCAGATCGAGAGTTCGTCACGATCTGGTTGAGAGCCTCCAGTGCCGACGCGTCCTCACCATTCCTGATGAAATCCCTGACCTGCTTGTTCAGCACTCTGTTGGTGGAGATCGACAAGAAAGCGTCCACCACCGAACTCTCAGGCAGCACCAGGAAGTGACCCTCCACCGGGCTCGCCGCAGCCCGCTCAGCAGACTGCAGCCGGATCTCCCCGCCTTCAGGCTTCTTTGCCATCGCCTTGGAGGCCGTCAAAGGCGCTACCGCATCCTTTGCCGAAGATCTGCCAAGCGCGGAGTGAAGATCATCCCCGCTAGCTTCTCTCGCTGCCGCACCTGGTCTGCTGTCGACGTCGCCAGGCCTCGTGGACGCCTCCCGCTTTGTCGACTCCTTCGCAGCCTCGTCGGGATCCCAACGGGATTTCCTTTCTCTCTTCTGTCCTTCGGCCGACCCGCGGCTACCGCCGGGAGCGTCACCTCCTCCTGTCTTCTCCTTCTTGACCTCAACCTTCGGTTCGGCCTGCTTCGTCTCCTTAGCCACAGCTTTTGGAGCCGGGGCACCCTTCGCCTCAGAAGCTGAAGCGGCCTTCCCCCTCGGCTCGGCCTTAGGAATCGGGGTCATTTTAGCCTTGGCACTCGGCCTGGCTCCTTCAACCACCATCTCGGCCCAAGACTTCTTCGGCTGAGCTGCCGCTGTATCTACCTCCATCGGAGCAGGTCCAGCATCGTCCTTCGCCTTTGGGACAGATGGGCTACCGCCCTTACCAGATCCTTTACCTGGCACATCACCTGATTTCGGTGGTGGGCCGGAAGGACTACCGCCCTTACCGCCCTTTTCCCCTTTCTTCCCTTTTCCTTTTCCGCCCTTGGGGACCGGCTCTTGCTTGGGACCAGGACCCGGCGCAGCATGATGCACCGATTGGAGTCCCTCGATGTCCACGTTCAAAGGTTCGGGTTGACGACCGTCAAGAACCGTCCTCACCCTTTCGTCACTAACGTAGACGAACGGGTCACGGAAGGGTGCGGGAGGCTCCGACTGTCCGGCGCTGATCGCCTTCTGCACCTTGGCTATCGCCTCCTTCAACCTCTTCTTCTCATCGTACCCCGTCTCCGATACCATGTACTTCCTGAGCTGCGAAATCAACGCATGACTCTCCAGGATGTCCACGTCCTTTCGATGGGTCGGGTACAATGGGGTCAGATGACCAGCCGCAGAACCAATCACGTATGCCATCGGAATATAGAATGACAAGTACGTGTCATGACGAGCGAACTTCCTAACGGAAGTCGTCATACGCCTACCCCACTGAGCAGCGTGTCTTGGGTTGGCCCGGAAGTACTCCGTGACCGACTCAAATCTATCGACTTGGTTGGTCTTGATCAGGTGCTTCGCCACCCACTTCTCCACAAACGCATCCGAGGCCGAAATCCCGGACACATAGGAGAATTGGAATAGCACCTTCGCCAGCTCATCCCACGCCGCATCGACACCTCCCTTGTCTTCACCAAGATAAGGGGGAAGTCTGATGCCGCTCTGCACCGTCATCCTTAGATCGGATGCCATTGAATAGGAAATCAAATTCCTCTTGATGACTCCGACCACTTCGGAGGGAATCCTCCTGGGCTTGAACTGCCCCATTGTCCTCACCCACTCCGGCACGATGTGGCACGTTTCGAAGTCCTTTTCCTCCGCGTTGGGGATAAAGTTCGGGTAAAAGACCGGGAGCGCGCACCCGGGACACAAGTGCATCCCATTCGGCATCAATTCTGCGCACCTCAAGCAGAACGTGGCAGTCACATTCAGCCTGATCTCTTCCCGTGATCGCTTGTGCTCTCCCCTAACGGGGGTGAAGTCACCGTAGTCCCATGCCCGATGGTACACTATCGTGTAATCATCGTACATATACGCCGCCTTCCAAGCCCCCATGTGGATCTCGTTCCTAACGGCAAGAGTCTTCCTTCTCGTCAAAAACACGGGTCCAACCAAGGACCAGTGCACCCGAAGATCCACCATTACCACCACGTACCTACCGGAGTAGTTCCGCAGCCTGTCCCTGACATACCACGAAGGCGATACCTCAGCATCCGGCGCCATGGCTCCCACAAGTGGGATCAGGCCCTCATCCTGCCTACCATCCCCAATGGTCTCGTACACATCGGGCCTCGTGATCAATATCTCGATCATGGCCTTTCCATTTCGCCTCACCCTTTGGAGCTGAACCGCCTTCCGAAAGTCCGAGAACTTCATGATGACGTATCCCACCATGGGGAGTTCATTCCAATGCATCTCATACATCAGAGATCCGCCAGGTGCATCTTCCTGAGTATACCTGTGCCTAACGGCACTGTAACTCAAGTCGCGTCCGATCCGCGTGTGCCTAACGGCAACCAACCTGGTGCTCTCCTTGAGGAGAACGCCATCCCCGTCGTACATGACCATGAGCATCGCCTCCACTTGCCCTATCGGGAAAGCTTTAAGCGTCGGAATGAAGAATTTCCAAGACATCTCAGCGTTCTCCATGCCCGAAATCTCCTTCAGGAACCAGATGGCCTGGTCACTTTTCACCCAGTTTCCAGCCTCGCGTCCGGTCTCCTTCAGCACACGTTCCTCGAATAACTCCGAGACTCTCTTTGAATTGATGACCAAGCCGTCGAAATCGCACGAGAGCAGTCTCATCAACTCCTTCGCCGCCTCCCGTCCTGCAACAGTGCCCACGGTCTCCTCGTAGTTCGGGAGGTATTCACCCAACCTCGTCTTCGAGGGAACCACAATCTGGCAAGTGACGGCCTCATCAGGGATAACTCCCGTTTCCCTTAACTCTGGATTGATCTCTCGCCTATCGGCAAGATAATCCTCCTTCCCATCCAGTATCACAAGATTGTAGGTCATCTTGCTCGCCGCCCCACTAGGCCTGAACTTCCTGCTATCATCCAACTGGTCAGGAGCAAAGGGTCCACTAGGGGCGGCCGCACTCACCAGAGGCGCTCCTCGCCCAGAGCAGAGGTGCTTCTTGTGAAAGTTCACCATCTGATTCAGCTGCGATAGTGCGTAGGCACGATCCTCCAATGACGCACTCTTCATCCCGGCCTCAGTCAGAGGAGCCTCAGGCTTGTCATAACTCGCCTTTCCGCCCCATCTCGCCGCGACCAGCTCAGCAGACTTCACAGGGTCGATCATATTTCCCGACCACTCAGGCATGTTGCTCAACCTCCTAGTCAACGCGTCTACCGACGCAGCCAAGTCTTCGTCCGTCACGGTGTAAGGGTCGACCTTCTCCCTGTCCTCTTGACCCACATCCGGAAGCCTATAATCCCCGCGGATGGCCTCCATTGCGGCCCTCTCGGCTTCCTCAGCCTCCTTCTGCGTGGCCACTGCTCTCGGAATCAAGAGCGCTACCTCGGCCGGCAACGACTTCTCCATGTCTATCGGAGTGTTCTTGGGAAGGATCCTTCGATCATCTCCCTCCCCGCTGTACTCGTAGTCAGGAGCAGTCTTCCGGTACTCCTCGAAGGTAGCCCCTTTGAAGTTGGTGATCCCACTCGGGTCTGTCTTCCCAGCCTCAGTACCCCGAGGCGTGGGCTCCTTCGTCCCGGT